AGATTCAATCTGGGATGATAGTAGGGTTTGACAGGTAATGTTCATCATTTTAAGAGAGCCACAGAGTGCTTTGAATTGAATTTTGGAAGAATTTGAGGTAGACAGATTTTTCTCTAAAATTCAGAGGTAGTTGCTCTGATGTGCCTTACATGGTCCAACTGAGGGACATTTATCTAAATAGGAAGTAGTGATTTTTCTAAAGGAGGAAAAATCTCTTTATTGTTGGTGAGAAAACAGAAAATTCTGGATAGGAGGAAGATGCGTGGATTGAAGGCTCTCTAGATTTGTATGAGAAAGGATTTTAGGATATAACCTCTGTATGGAACTAAAAACATTCTTCTAATGTAAAAGGTCATATGTTTCTAATGGGCCAAGTTATGGACAAATAAGAACTTTTAGTTCTTCTGAAATATTTATGAGGATCAATTTTATGTGTTTATATATGAGTGTGTGTGTATGACTTCTAGAACATATATAAATATATGTAAATATATATATCTATAAAAATACATATATATATATATACACACACATTATATCTGTGTTTAGGAATATAAACATATAAAGTTGCACACTCAAACACTGGAAATAAGTGATTTAAGGCTTTATCTAAGACCCTGCTTTAGAAGATAAGCCCTCAGGGAAGAAAGAAGGTATGTTCCGCTCTTCCCATAGAGTCTGGGGTCTTTTGCTCTGCTTGCAGAGCCTTTCTGATGCCAACAGCGTTACATGGGTTCTCTTCTGTTAAGCTGGTATCAAGAGAAGCAGACTCAGGGGAACCAATTGTATTAGTTTAGGCTAATTCTTCTATAGCAACATCTTGAGCACTGCGGATGAAAACTAAGAAGATTAAAGTCCACATAATCTGGGGATCTTTATGTAAGTGAAGTTCAAATTACCATAAGCTCTTCAAATCATTGATCTGAGGATCAGTTAGAAAGAAGAATAACTTAAACGAGCTCAAGTTGCAAATCCTTATCTTTGGGTCCTCTTTCTTTTCCTTTTCTTTCCCTTTTTTATCCTTTTTTTTCCTTTTCTTTACTTTTTTTTTCTTTTTAGTGGAATATTTTAAAAATTCTTTGATATAACGTTGGTTTTGTTCTACTTTCTTCATGGGAAGAAGCTTTCAAAAGAGCTGCATAACTGTTTCTTTCTCAGTAAACATGCAGTTACGTTAGATTTATAGAGGTTGTTAAAATGCTAAAAGTCACTGATTGATTATTTTAATGCTATCATACTGTTTCAATAAAGACTGCTTTTGAAATAGAAATCTGTCCTTATGGCACTACTATTTTATTAAATGTGGGTATTGTAGCTTCTGGATTTTTTATCAATTAGAAATGAGAGTGACCAGTGACAGGTCCCTGAGGAAATGGCCTGAAGCTGTTTCAGGTGAGGTTTAGGGTGGATATTAGAAAAAAGGTTCTTCATCCAGAGGGTGGCTGGGCACTGGAACAGGCTCCCCGGGGAAATGGCCACAGCACCAACCCTGGCACAGTTTGGACAATACTCTCAGGCCTATGGTGTGACTCCTGGGATGGTCCTGTGCAGGGCCAGGAGTTGGACTTGATGGTCCTTCTGGATCCCTTCCAGCTCAGCATATTCTGTGATAGCCATGCTTAGAGATTTGAGGTGGCATCTACATAGGATGGTACTTTAGTGCACATCGGCACCACTGACATCCTCTAGAATGGAGTGGTTCCATCCAATTTTCCTGTAGTGGCAACCAAACCATGCCAGGGAATCATTTGAAAGAGTGAGGGTTGGCTCAAACAATTTCAGAAGTGTTTTGAGACTGACTGACTTTCAGTACCCAGGAGTGTTTTCAGGTGTGGTTTTATTAAAGTGGGAACATAGCCTAAGTGTATGTCAGGCAAATTTAGAGCTCAGACAGGAGCCACATATTTAAAAGTGACCAAATTGCTTTTCTGAAATATTGTACATTGATAATATTACAGAATTAAAGGAAACACTTTTTCTTTAAAGGAAATAGTTGTCTTTAGTCATTAAAAGAGAACTTTTGAGGCTTTTTATTAACAGTTTGTCACAGATAACATTTGCCTCTGAAATGTTTTTATTACAGTAAATACATATTTGGAAGGTGGAGGGCACTGGCCCATCTGTAAGGAGATCCTGCACTACCAGTTGAAGAACTAGCTCCTTCTCCAACTTCAGAGGTTAAGAGGTGTTTTACTAATAAAGTAAAACTTCTAATTTACTAAGAACTTCTTTTCCCCCTCCTAAATCTATACTGCTTCATTGAGGTGAATTGCAATGGATTACTGTAATAATCCTGTAACAGACCACCTGGATATTGTTAATAATGAACTTAATGAAAGATCAGTTCTGAAATGTATTTAAAAGGAGCTTTTTTCTGCAGCAAGTAGAATGAGTTGTATCAGACAGTGAAGAGGTTTTCTGTCACAAGTCAGTTAAAGTACCTCTGGACTATCAGAAAGGATTACATTATCTGAATACTCATTGTATACCAACTCTTGAGTCACTATTTTTCATTAGCAACTGAGTTAGATTTTAAACTCTTGTGCCTGTGAGTGGTAATATGTTATTATGGTGCTTTTCATACTTTAGTACAAGATTCTGTATTTGAAAAGATAATAAATTCATGTGTTGAGTGGTGTGATGGCAACATAAAGCTCACCAAAATAATCAAAGATATTTTTTTTATTTGAAATTCAGAATTGCTGTATCTCCAGTACATCTATAGCTTATACATAAACACTTTATCTCTTCCATATAAGAGAGGAGGATAGTTTTCCAAGAGTACTGCTTACGTCCTTGTCGCTGGGGAGCTTGGTGTGTCTGGTGATACCAGGTTCTTCTTCCTGATAATATGTGGTAGGCAATAGGTCTTAAACTGGTCCTTTCTCAGTGCCAGGATGTTACCCTTTTAGGATGCCTGTAGAGGTTATGAAAAAGCAGTAGCTTAATATCCTTCAATCAAAAGCAACTTTACCATGTACCTCACATTATTGTTTTAAAGGATGCAAAATATTCCACTCAAAGTTGTTGCAGTGCATTTAAAAATTAAAACAGACTAATTTTGTTTTTTTAGGAGAGTCTTGAAAAGCCTAGATTAAAAAAAATCTTAGTTCCATTGGCCAGCATGAGTATCTGTCCATATATGTGGTCCCTGTGGTACATTGCTTGATATAACATATTCTCATTGCTGCGTATTACATAGCTTGCAAAATATGAAAATGAACCATCCTTAAAAGATAGTTCTAGTATTCTAATTTCCAATTTTTTTTGTATAGCATTTGGAGTTGCTTAAAAAAATCACATCCATTTTTGTAGGTGGATCCTATAAAAACAGAGCTAACTAAGGATAATTTAATGTAAAAAATATTCCTTGTCCTTCTAAATTATGGCAGAATCAGTTTTGTGCTGCATGAAAAGTCAAATGGAACAGAAAATTGGAACAATCCATTAAATGAATAAAAATTGTCATTTTCTTCACTGCTTATGCTAACATCTTTAATTGTACTGAATTAATTTAGTATGAACATGGGTGTCATGCATTGCTGTTACCACACTTTATAATTTAGTAGTAATTATATTCTGCTATTGCACGGTGAGGCCACATTCTCAGATTTATTCTCCATTCAGATTTGTCCTTTTTCCCCTGCTGGTCAGAGAGCCAAATAGGTGCAGCATTGAAGTTGTGAATGCTTTCATGCCAGAAAAATCCTTACTGTTTTTAGTTACATTCTCTTCCACCAAAATGTCAAGCAACCTCTGTTTTTCTACTATTAAACTTCGGGCTGACTGTGGTGGAAAGAATCTCTGACCTCTAGATCACAGAGTCGTACAGGTGGGAGGGAACCTATACAGGTCTCTCTGTCAAGCTCTTGCTAAAATACAAGTTCCAAATACAGCAGGTTACTGAGGGGCTTGTCCCACCATAGTGTGAATATTTCTAAGGGTGGTTGTCCAATAGCATCTCTGAGCCTCTGTTCCTTTGTTTGACCATCCTCATGGTAAAAGATAAGTCAGTAAATAAATAAAGTTCTTATATCTAGTCACAATTTCCTGTATTCTATCTTATGTCTGTTGTCTTTCATCCTATTGCTGTGCATCCCTAAGGATAGCCTGGCTCCGTAATTTTTGAACCCTCCTAGTGGAAACGCTGCTCTGGTCAGCAGTGAGATTCACTTCTCTTCGGAAGAGTGAGCAAAGCTGGCTCTCTTAACCTTTCCTCATTTAGTGTGCACTCCAGCCCCCCTCACCATCTTGTTGGTGTTTGCTGCACTTTCTTCATCATGGGAAAGTCTTGTACGTAACTTGCTCTGATATTAAAGGAAAGGAGTATGTATACAGGAAAATAATGGTCTTTCATTACCTCCAAAGGCCATCAAAATATTTCTGAATCTTTCTGTGCCTTTAATGGATTCTCAACCACAACTTAATGTTTTATTTCATGTTCTGCTTATGTAGCTTTGGTAAATAACTGAACTTCAGAGTGAGTAGAGATTAGTTAAATTTCGAATTTCATTTTATACAATTGCGGGTTCATCTTAAGTCACGACACCAGCCCAGAAGTGAGTTGTTTGTTGTTTTTTTTTTTCACTTTTCTTTTCTTTTTGAGTTCTAAGTCAAAGCATATGGAAGAATGTGATTTGATTTAGCTTTTGAAAGTGCATGACAGATTCATTTTTTCATGAAGCTGAACTGAAATAAAATAGGCCCATAGCAGTTTTGCCCATAGGATATTTTGTTTTAAGAAAATGGCTTTCTTTTGAAGGGCATGAGATAGAGCATGGTTTCAATTCCTGTAGAATATGGTACATTTATAAATGTGTATTTTATTTCTAGCACCATATGGCTATATGTACTTTATAAAGGCCATTCACGCTAGCAGGCTCGAAAAGTGAATGTGTTATGCATCTTTAAACTCAAAGGAACTAATCTCCCCAAATTATTAAGTTGTTTTTTTTTCTTTTTCATATTTTAGCGTTGATCCTTCTGTTTTCTCTTGTAAGGAATCTGTCTCTGAAGCTGTCAAAGGAGGTAGACCAAGCAGAAGCCAGGTACCCTCGTGTTAGCCAGCTGGCTGGCAGCCCATCCGTGGAGTGGCCTTTCACCGGTCTAGAAGAAGGCGGAGGCATTGAATCTTTGCCCTTCAGATTGATGCTGCAAGACTGCACAGCTGTAAAGACATTGCTTCTGAAAATGAAGAGGGTTCTTCAAGAGGTAATCACCTACTTATTTGTTAGATTAATATCTTTCAGCATTAATGAGCTAAGCAGCAGAAAAGGGTCAGTAAAGTTTATGACTTTATACCTTTTAATATGTCTTGAATATATGGAATTGATGCAGAAGTATAAATAGTTGTGCCTCAACGTGGTGTAGGTCAGGAAGTTTATACTATAACAGAATTTAATTGATACTGCCATCTTGGCTTCCAAAGTGTAAAGCTTCTCTTGAGCTGCAAAAAGAAGGCAGGAGAGACCAACTGCTTTAGATCAAAATATGTTGTATGGTTTTCTTCCAGTATTTTAGGGCTTTTCAGTTTCCTTACTGCATTTGTTAACCATTATGAAGTCACATGTAATTTATTTAGAGGAGAGATGTTAAGAAAAAAAAAATCTCTTAACTAAGAGTATTATAATTTTACCGGCTTGACTCTGTAAATGATGTCTGAAATCAGATTTTTTAGGCTGTTCCTAACAGTTGCAAGAATCATGTCTTGTCCTGTCCTGCTGGTTTCTCCTGCTTCCTGTATGGACTGCTGGTGTTGCTTTAAAAATTTTATTTTGTATCTGTTTCCCTTTAGAAATTTAGGGAAATCAAATTATTATTGGTTTGGATTTTTTTTTTTTTGGTACTTTCCAGCTGTGGAACCTTGACTCAGGTGTGTATTACGAACTTTTATCTTCATGTTTGTGAATTGCAGTGTGTGTTATCTTTGAGATCTAAAAGAAAGATAATTTTTTTGGTTTGTTTTTATCTATATAGTTCATAGAATTACAGAATAATTTAGGTTCAGAGGGCTCTCTGAAGGAGAGGAGGGTCCCCCTCCTCTACTCAAAACAAAGCCAGCTCAGAACAGGTTGCTCAAGTTCTTGTCCACTTAAACTTTTGGTACTTTAAATGGCATTTCCATATTGTGTCTGTGTAAGCATTCCAATATTTGACTACATCATTGTATTTTGTTCCCTACGATGTGAACAGAATTTCTCTTGTTGCAGTCAGCTTCATCATACAATAAAGACCAAATATATGTTTAAGGGTTTTTTACTGCTCACTTCTTGGTCATCTGTATCTAAATTCAAACAACTGCTGCTCTGTCTGAAAAGGTTTGTCAGCCTTTTGTTTGATAAACTATGTTTATCATTTACCCATGATACTTTTCAATCAGTCCTCCTAAATCACATGTTTTTGCTGGATGGCAAGCCTCTTTCCAGTTTCCTTTGATTCTCTAGAAGCTTCATGTATGCTATTGGGATTCTTAATGCACTCCTGTTTTGCTGAATCCAGAACTGAAGTCATTAGTTCTCCATCAGTTCCTTCTTATATAATGTTAGAATATAGAGTGAATTTAAAGGATTTATAACCTCATTTTATCTGGAAATAAATAATAAGAATTATGATAATACATACCATAGCTGTTGTAACATTCAGGTGGTAACACTGGCAGCGTTTGCTGTTGCTTCTAATGTGAATAATTCTATTACACTCAGAAAAGTTCTTCCTTACCATGACGGTAAGCATAAGAATTTTAGTTTTGACTTACCAGGTTCGATTAAGCTTGTCTAAGAATCTGCTGTTATTTTCTATATGGATATATGTTGTACCTTATACTACTTCATCTTTAAGAAAATTCACCAGTTGATCTGCACAAAAGAAACACAAGGTACTTCATGCAACTCGCTGGAATTTCATTTCCGCTCACTAATTTCTCCTTATGTAACTCACTGATTTTAGTTTGTTATCTTAATCATTCAGTCTTTTGCTTACTTGTTCCTTTGTGTCATATAATTTCCATCTCTCCATCTGACTGTTACAAAGTGTGTCTCTGTCCTTTGCTTTTCTTTTTTGTCTTGCCTTATGAAATCAAAATGGCTTTTTTCTAATTCCATATTAGATGTGCTGGAATTTAACTCGCTGTTTATCAGCACCTTTGAGATCTAATATCTTGATAGAATTACACATTTTCTTAGCTATGTACTAGAAAAACTTCTTACTTGGTCAGAATGAAATCACCAATCTGATGATTATTGAAAAGTTTTGTTGCCTTGAGTTGTTATTTCTATTTCAGTTTTCAGTGAATGTCTTGTGTAATGTCAGTGATAGAAAAGTTATGAAGAGTGCTGTAAAATGGTATGGGAGTGTACTTCTTAGTATCCCCATATGGGAAATAGCTCTTTATTATGTAGTGCAATATTTCAGTTCTACTGATATAAATACATGTGCTAATTTTTGAAACAAATAATTACTTTTCGAGGTTTGCACAGTTTTTATAGTTAACAAACCCATCCACTACACAGTAGGTGTTATTAAGAATTAGTAAGAATTAAGCCAAATCCAGAATATGATTCAGAACACCATGAGTAGCTAGTCTGAACAACCAAAGAAAAGATGACCTTGAAATATATTAGAAGTTTATACTGAAATGACACAACTTGATTATTTTCAGAAATACAGACATTTATGCATTTACGTCACTTTTAAATTATTAGTGAAAGATTACAGGAAAATATAATCCCATCAAATTGAAATATTGTATTGAAGAATCTGATAAATAAGTCATCTGAACATATTTAGCAGACAGTTTCCATGGAGAAGATACCCTACTTCCATTGCAACTAGATGTAATTTCTTCATCCAGAAATCACTTTTGCCCCAACCAGTATTATAAATCAAACTCACAACAGTACAGAACAAAAGACATAAAAGAAAAATTTTTTCCTTACCATGGAACGCTCAAATATTTTTAGATGTAGTGAAACATAGTCTCTCGCAGGCTTATATGGTATAGAAGTGATACATTTTATTTAAAAGTATAAATTAAGATTTTTTTGAAAAATAATAATATGTCACGTTTTCATCCACTTAAAAAAACATACAGAGCATACAAACTACGCGGGGAAAATTACACGGGTTACCAGAAAAAAGGCTGCAGTATTTCTGTTTTATAGCTGATATTACCTATAGAAGAAGGAATCACAGTAGTGTACACCTCTTTGTTGAAAAATAACATGCTAATTGAGTTAAAATATTAGCCCTATTATTCAATGAAATCCTTCTTGTTAAGCACTGAACACCGCTTCTAAGGAATAATTTAATTATGATCTGCCAAAATGTAATACTAGCTAGTAAAATATGCTTTTTTTTGTTGCAGTTGCTTGTAATTGAAGAATCTAAATGGAAAAACTGCATGCAATGTATGCTGTTCTGTGCTGCAGATTTATAAAGCAATGAGTTAGCTTGTTATTAGTCTTATCTTGAAAATGGAAATTGAAGACATGGCAGTAACTTGCAAGATTGAGAATGTTATTTAGTAAAAGGCTAATGAATGATCGTTTAATTAAGAGAATTAATTACCTTTTCAGTTTCAGTGAAAAAGCCTTGAAAATGTCTACTAATTCTTTATAGTTTTGGCTGTACCAGTCTCATAAGGCAGATTGTCCCCCAGTGTTTTGAAAATTTCATTGAGCAAAGCTGAAGATAGTCTGAAGGACCCTGGCAAGTGAGCAAACTTAGGCAATCCACCAAGCGGACCAGAAAATATCTCGAATTACCTTCAGCAGCTTTTTCTCATGGCAGTTCCATTTCTGACAGACAGATCTGCAATAATGGCATAACGAAGGCTGCATCATTTAATGAAAAAGTATTACTAGAGATTATCATCATGGGCAGCTTGATAAAAGCCACTTCAGCCTAGAAGACAATACAAGTTATCTTGTAGCCTGCCTGTGATTTACAAGTAGTTCTTGGCCTCCCTTTTCTCTCCAGCTCTCTGATGTTTATTGAACTGTTTGGTTTTTCGTTTGGAATTTTTTCCCCCCCTCAAAGTCTAATCGGTATTGACCTTTTTGTCAGTAATGACTCCTCTCATTTAAAAGAAAAAAAAGGAAAAAATAGGGAGTTGGATGGATAACATTGGTAGGTTTGCCCACTCCTAAGAAATGGGTTCTCTACTTTCTGACTTCAGACAGGCCTTTCTGCTCTGAACTGCTCTTTAACTTAATCTCTGCCACTTTTTTTCCCCAATGTGCTGTTCCATACTTTAGGCTTGTTTCTGCAAGTCATATTTTCCCTGTATTCTTTATGAAATATATGGTTTATCAACTACATAATTCTACTTTTGAATATTTTTATGAGGCTATCAGAAGTGACCTTACTGGTTACTAATCTAGAAAATTAAGATACATTGTCTATATGTTTGTGTAATTTGGAATATAAATTATTCAGTGCATGCCCATGCTTTTTATGGAGCTCTGCAAAACAGCATGCGGGCTGTAGAGCTTTAGCTAATTCCTACAATTAGCAATAGGAATAAGTCACTTTGGACATACATTGCATACTGTGTTTTACTAATTAATCATTTATTTTACTGAGGGAAATTGCAGCTGTCTGTGGCTGTCATTAAAACTTAATGGTTCCAATACAGTGTCTTTAGATTACACTTGAAAAAAAAAGAAAAAAGAGAAATGTGGAAAATGAGGTTAAAATTGCTGTGAGTCTGGCCCTGAGAGCTGCCTGAGATTAGGGGGGCAGAGTGAGACCACTCAGTCTGCAATTAGTCTGTCAGATATCACTGGGTACATTACTTCTCCCCGTGCATCTTTCACCTCATCAGTAAAATAAGCATAATTATAGGGTCTTCTTTTATGCTGCACTTGCAATCTACTAATGGAAAGTACTAAGAGAAAGCTAAGTGTTGCTTCCAATGTTTTGTGGTCTGATTGCTAAGCAATGTAGAATTGGCCTTAAACTATGGTTTTTAAAGACATGAAAGCATTTCCTGCAGTCCACTATGAAATGTATTGTGTTTGCTAATATTGTGCTAGCCACTCTAGGAACCAATTGCAAGTTTAATACACCGTAAAAGACTACAGGTTTTCTTCCTTTAAGTAACTTTGTAATTAACCACTGTAGCATTGCTGATTTATTCAACAACTCTGCATTTAACGCAGTCCCTTTTATCAAGTAATTCATGCTGGAAATTGGTAATTCCTTCATTTCAT